AGTCAGGGAAAATAGCCTATAGCCAATTATTAAAGAATAAATTAAGCATAGTCAGTGTTCACTCTTGCGAATTGTATTGGGGGCACTTGGCTGCCATCAGTTAGCTTCTCCCATACCAGGGGCCACTAAAGGATTCCAAGGATAAGCCACCGGGGTTTTCCGCATTTGTTTCTGAGAAGGGGGCGGCGAGGAATTCCTGCGAATCTCTCGAATCTCTGGAATCTGTAGAATCTAAGTATCATTAAGTATCCAGGAACCTCCCGTAACCTCCCGTAACCTCCCGTAACCTCCCGTAACCGTAACCTCCCTAGGAATCTCTAGAATCTCTGGAATCTGGAATCTGTAGCATCTAAGTATCCAGGAACCTCCCGTAATCTGCCGTAACCTCCCGTAACCACCCGTAACCGTAACCTCCCGTAACCTCGCTCCCGTAACCGTAACCTACCTAGGAATCTCTAGAATCTCTGGAATCTGTAGAATCTAAGTATCCAGGAACCTCCCGTAACCTCCCGTAACCTCCCGTAACCGTAACCTCCCGTAGGATCCGTAAGTAGAATCTAAGTATCCAGGAACCTCCCGTAAACTCCCGTAACCTCCCGTACCCGTAACCTCCCGTAACCTCCCGTAACCTCCGGTAACCTCCCGTAACCTCCCGTAACCGTAACCTCCCGTAACCTCCCGTAACCTCCCGTAACCTCTCGTAACCGTAACCTACCTAGGAATCTCTAGAATCTTTGGAATCTGTAGAATCCAAGCCAGGAACCTCCCGTAACCTCCCGTAACCGTAACCTCCCGTAACCTCCCCTAACCTCCCGTAACCTCCCGTAACCTCCTGTAACCGTAACCTACCTAGGAATCTCTAGAATCTCTGGAATCTGTAGAATCTAAGTAGAATCTAAGTATCCAGGAACCTCCCGTAACCTCCCGTAACCTCCCGTAACCGTAACCTCCCGTAACCTCCCGTAAGCGTAACCTCCCGTAACCTCCCGTAACCTCCCGTAACCTCCCGTAACCGTAACCTACCTAGGAATCTCTAGAATCTCTGGAATCTGTAGAATCTAAGTATTCAGTAACCTCCCGTAACCTCCCGTAACCTCCCGGAACCGTAACCTCCCGTAACCTCCCGTAACCGTAACCTCCCGTGACCTCCCGTAACCTCCCGTAACCTCCCGTAACCGTAACCTACCTAGGAATCTCTAGAATCTCTGGAATCTGTAGACTCTAAGTATCCAGGAACCTCCTGTAACCTCCCGTAACCTCCCGTAACCTCCCGTAACCTCCCGTAACCGTAACCTCCGGTGACCTCCCGTAACCTCCCGTAACCTCCCGTAACCTCCTGTAACCTCCCGTAACCGTAACCTCCCGTAACCGTAACCTCCCGTAACCTCCCGTAACCGTAACCTACCTTGGAATCTCTAAAGGGATTTTCACACAAGTTAGCGTTTTCAACACTTTTGGTGTTTTCGGTATTGGGTTGGCACAGGATATGTTTTTCGTTGAAAACCAACATCGAAGTAGTGCCACCATGAATGTGTTGAATATTCTGATCGATGGCAAGAAGTTGTTAGGGGGGCTCATGTTCAAAGCTTTTGTGTTTTGAATGTTGGCCGGGAGTTGCAGCAGCAGTACGGAATCTTTATTCAAGAGAATGCTAGACTTTTAGTAGTCAGGGAAAATAGCCTATAGCCAATTATTAAAGAATAAATTAAGCATAGTCAGTGTTCACTCTTGCGAATTGTATTAGGGGCACTTGGCTGCCATCAGTTAGCTTCTCCCATACCAGGGGCCACTAAAGGATTCCAAGGATAAGCCACCGGGGTTTTCCGCATTTGTTTCTGAGAAGGGGGCGGCGAGGAATTCGGTTGTTTCGGGGGCGGCGAGGAATTTCCAACAGGGGGGCGGCGAGGTATTCCGGTTGTTTGGGGGGCGGCGAGGAATTTTCAACAGGGGGGCGGCGAGGTATTCCGGTTATTTGGGGGGCGGCGAGAAATTTATAACAGGGGGCGGCGAGGTATTGCGGTTGTTTGGAGGGCGGCGAGAAATTCCCTTCGGGGGGGCGGCGAGCGGCGAGCTCTTCCTCGAAGAGCTCTCCGCCCCTACCCCGTGTCAAGTTTGATTTTGGCCCCGGTTGACCAATCCCTCTCCACTTTGGGATGCCTGCCGTTGGCTGCAAAGCGGAGAGCTCGTTCTTAGAAGAGCTCTCCACCTTCCCTTTCCAGTAGCATTGGTTACTAATGTGCTAAGTTGGCTGGGATCACCGAAGCTAGGTATATTTGGTACTGGCGTAACCGTAACCTCCCGTAACCCTACCCAGGAATCTCTAGAATCTCTGGAATCTGTAGAATCTAAGTATCTAGGAACCTCCCGTAACCTCCCGTAACCTCCCGTAACCGTAACCTCCCGTAACCTCCCGTAACCTCCCGTAACCGTAACCTCCCGTAACCTCCCGTAACCTCCCGTAACCTAGGAATCTCTAGAATCTCTGGAATCTGTAGAATCTAAGTATCCAGGAGCCTCCCGTAACCGCCCGTAACCGTAACCTCCCGTAACCGTAACCTCCCGTAACCTAGGAATCTCTAGAATCTCTGGAATCTGTAGAATCTAAGTATCCAGGCGCCTCCCGTAACCTCCCGTAACCGTAACCTCCCGTAACCTAGGAATCTCTAGAATCTCTGGAATCTGTAGAATCTAAGTATCCAGGAGCCTCCCGTAACCCTCCCGTAACCGTAACCTCCCGTAACCTAGGAATCTCTAGAATCTCTGGAATCTGTAGAATCTAAGTATCCAGGAGCCTCCGTGACCTCCCGTAACCGTACCCTCCCGTAACCTAGGAATCTCTAGAATCTCTGGAATCTGTAGAATCTAAGTATCCAGGAGCCTCCCGTAACCTCCCGTAACCGTAACCTCCCGTAACCTAGGAATCTCTAGAATCTCTCGAATCTGTAGAATCTAAGTATCCAGGAGCCTCCCGTAACCTCCCGTAACCGTAACCTCCCGTAACCTAGGAATCTCTAGAATCTCTGGAATCTGTAGAATCTAAGTATCCAGGAGCCTCCCGTGACCTCCCGTAACCTCCCCTAACCGTAACCTCCCGTAACCTAGGAATCTCTAGAATCTCTGGAATCTGTAGAATTTAAGTATCCAGGAGCCTCCCGTAACCTCCCGTAACCGTAACCTCCCGTAACCTAGGAATCTCTAGAATCTCTGGAATCTGTAGAATCTAAGTATCCAGGAGCCTCCCGTAACCTCCCGTAACCTCCCGTAACCGTAACCTCCCGTAACCTAGGCATCTCTAGAATCTCTGGAATCTGTAGAATCTAAGTATCCAGGAGCCTCCCGTACCCTCCCGTAACCGTAACCTCCCGTAACCTAGGAATCTCTAGAATCTCTGGAATCTGTAGAATCTAAGTATCCAGGAGCCTCCCGTAACCTCCCGTAACCGTAACCTCCCGTAACCTAGGAATCTCTAGAATCTCTGGAATCTGTAGAATCTAAGTATCCCGGAGCCTCCCGTGACCTCCCGTAACCGTAACCTCCCGTAACCTAGGAATCTCTAGAATCTCTGGAATCTGTAGAATCTAAGTATCCAGGAGCCTCCCGTAACCTCCCATAACCGTAACCTCCCGTAACCTAGGAATCTCTAGAATCTCTGGAATCTGTAGAATCTAAGTATCCAGGAGCCTCCCGTAACCTCCCATAACCGTAACCTCCCGTAACCTAGGAATCTCTAGAATCTCTGGAATCTGTAGAATCTAAGTATCCAGGAGCCTCCCGTAACCTCCCGTAACCGTAACCTCCCGTAACCTAGGAATCTCTAGAATCTCTGGAATCTGTAGAATCTAAGTATCCAGAAGCCTCCCGTAACCTCCCGTAACCGTAACTTCCCGTAACCGTAACCTCCCGTAACCGTAACCTCCCGTAACCTAGGAATCTCTAGAATCTCTGGAATCTGTAGAATCTAAGTATCCAGGACCCTCCCGTAACCTCCCCGTAACCGTAACCTCCCGTAACCTAGGAATCTCTAGAATCTCTGGAATCTGTAGAATCTAAGTATCCAGGAGCCTCCCGTAACCTCCCGTAACCGTAACGAAGTAACCTCGAAGATATAGTTTAATCTAGTAAGTGTTTATACGCACTCTGTAATCACCATTAAACGTAATTAGTTTACTTATACGCAATTAGTGACGCATTAGACGCTATTAATGCCATTTAAACGCAATTAATACATATACTTCCAAACCGATGACACAAACCTCGCAGTCCATTACAACATGTTACAACTGTGGCAAATCCATACGTTGCATGTCAGTAATCCTTTAGGCTGTCTGTCGACAAAAACAGAATTACATTCGTTTTGGCAAATGATGGACTGGGAAAGCATCCAAATAAATTGGACATGATGTTTTGCGAACAACAGTGCTCCCTGATAAAATCAACTTGATCAGAATTCTTGGTTTGAGATTTGTAAGGCTAGTCTAATGATTGTATACACATCAACAAATGCAAAACATGGAAAGAAAAATCATGTTCGGCCTGAAAACAAAGGTTTGTTCTAAGGGCCGGCATTAGATGGCTTAGCTTGCAATTCTTGTTTGCTCTTTTCTAGTCAGCTAAATTTCAGCTTCAGTCAATGTGAGTTTGAGCCAAAGCCATGCCAGCAATTGACGTCCTCCCTGGCCCAAGCACCAACTGATGACATCATGACATCCAAAGCGTTCGGAGCCGCCGGACGCCTTGGTCTTGAAGTTCAAGTCCGTCGCACCTTGGTCATTTGGAGCACACTGGAGAATGGACCAATACTACAGCATACTACAGCTATAAATGTTCATCCTGGAGGCTGCTGCAACGTGCAGTTTTATACTGCATAAATATTGCGTGTATAATATATATATGTGCACACCATATATATATATATACATATATACTATGTGTATATATATATATTATGTATATATATATAATGTATATATCATGTGTCTAGCATGGCCAACATTCTGTGTCTATGTTTCATAGGATTGGCTGTTCAGCGGCGTCCCAATCGGCAAGGAGCTGAAAAGCATGCGAGGTCGAAGTGCCTCTGCATGTACCACCTGCACAGTAGGGCACTGACACACTGCAACGGCGTACTGCGATCTATCATGTTTGATATCATACAAAAACATAATATGATACATAAATATACGCTATCATTTATCATGAATATATAAATCAAAAAAAGAGCTCCCAACTTTTGGCTGAGAATCACAGAGACATGTTGACAAACTCCGCTTTGACTGATCAAAAGACATGAAAGCATAAGGACATTCTTTCAAAATCGGGAGACAAAAAAAAAGGTCCGTTGTAAAAAAAAAGGCCTTGCGCAATCCTTCACTCTTCCCACCGCCAGCGGCAACGATCGGAAACTCAAAAAAGTGTTGACCTCAGCAGGGCTCTGATGTAGCGATGCCACGCCAACAAATCGCGTTGTGTCTCCGGTGACAAGCGGCCCAGATCTGTCGGCTTGTAGGTGAGCTGCAACTGGAGGGTGTAGTTGGGTTGAACCTTTGCAGCCGGTGCGCAATTTGCCACGGGAACATATTGTACATATTATGTAGATATATATATATATATATATACATACATACACACATATATACGTATAATTATACATATACACGTATATGTATCCGTATATTATTTATATAATATATATATATAATTATATATAACATACACACATATAATTGTACATATACACGTATATTATAATCATATCATGGGAACCACGGACAGGGGCATGTTTCATATGTTTCATGATGTTTCCCACTTTCACGGCCAGCAGCTCCTGCAGCCAGCCACAGATTCCAAAGGCAGATCCAACCAGCTGTCCAACCCATAGATCAACTTTCATCAAGATTCTTCTAGAAAGTTGATCTATGGGTTGGATCTGAGAAAGTTGATCTATGAAATAGAAAGAATCTTTATTACTATAATTATCAACCGGATATTCTTCATATCATAATCCGGTCACATGTAAATTATCATTTCTTGGCAGCTTGAGAGGCTCTGGGTGCCCACACGGAAATTTTGTAGACCTGCGAATTGGACTCCTCATCCTCGTCCTCATTCTGTGTGCCCTTAGCTCCGTTTGACGCGATCCAATACCAATCTGGTGGGTGGATACTAGCACTTTCATATGGCCAATAATTTATGATACCACTGATACCACCTCAAAGTAGGAAATATGGATCTGAATGACAGGTGACAAAAACCAAGTCTCTAGTTTTTACACCAACTAGGGGATCATTTCCTCACACCTGTGGCATTGCTTCTTACCTTCCATCAGCAGGTGGAATTCTGAAAGACAACCCAGGTAACCTTCAATTCTGAGGCTAAGGAGCCACAACAATACAGCTTATCTTTTGCATCACAGGTTCAGGTCCAAAGTTCACAGGATTTCACTGCGACGGCATATCAATTCGTCAAACTTTGCCCGAGGCGATAGCTTAATAAGCTTAATTAATGGCCCTCCTCCCTGCAGTGGACCTCCCTGCAGTGGATGTCCAGTCCCAGTGGCGATCTGCGCGGCATTTTGGGTCGCTCCTATCAAGGCAGTCTTGGCACCGCCCATGGTGGCAGAGGGCGCCGCTTGAGCTTCTGTGACACCACCGATGGCCAGTTGATACCTGAAGCTAAGCGCATCAAGAAATATCATTTGGTCAAGCGAAGTTCCACTGTCCCTGACATCTTAATACCTTGTGTGGGATAAAGTGTCCGTTGTGTCCCTTTTCAGCTTTTTGGCCTTCACAGTAGTATGGCCACTTAATAAGACTTGTTTTTAAATTTAATATAAGTTAGATTTTTTGTTCATGTTTGTTTTCTATCAATTTCTGAATCACGACCTCTGGGGGCGGCACTGCTGCAAAGAAATTGGCTGCAATGCCGTGGCGTCGTAATCGGCATCATAGACCTGAGCGACCACAGAGCTGGCGTCGTAATCTCATGCTGTCTCTGTCTCCTGCGCCTCAAGACTATGCCCACCAGTCACTCTGGAAAGGAAAGGTTGGTCAAGAAGGAGATTCCCAGTTCATGGTCCACAATGTATTTGGTATTTACGATCCCTTACATGTACTCATCACATCTCAAGTTTTGAACACTGCTCAAACATCTTTGAAGTCTCAAACGATTTTTCTCAAGTCCCCAACGGATCTCAACGGTGTGAAAGGTTGATTCCCCAGCGGTTCAGACGAGCTTCCGTATCGGTTCGCTCCTCCAGAAGAGAAAGACTAAACTCGGGGTATGGCTGCAGGTTGACCTTGGGCATGGCACATGCCATGCGACAGAAATCCCGTAGGATCATTCAATGATTGGGAGTTAAGAAAAAAACAGACAGGAAACATGGTTTTACATGTTTGGGTTTCCTGCAAATTCATACAGTCTGGAATTCAACTATTCGTTGGTACCAATTGTAAGGTTCTGGAAATCTTTGCAAGATGTTCCTCACATGTTGCTGGTCCTTGCCAGCTTGCAAACGTCGCTTAGACCGTCTTAGACTTGCAAACAAAGCCATTTCATCTTCCAAGCGTTGGTTAGCAAAAGCATGACAAAACATGAGGAAAAACTCATTTTTGCAAAGTAGGAGGCTGTATGGTCTCTTCTGGCAGTGGACCAGCATGCAGCATGCAACAGTTTTTTCCTTCGAAAAAAGTGGTCATTGCTAGTCCCTGCTATCACCGACAATATCCCGCAATCCCATATTTTTTGAGGGGCAAAAGAAGTTGTCTTCTCAGGAACTTCATACAGAGGCGAAGATGAAGGCAAAAACCTCTGCGGAATGAGAGAAGCCTAGCTGCGTAGTGAGTCCCTTCCACCGCAGAGGAATTCTTCAAGGAGATGGGCACAACCCCTGGCCGACAGAGTGACTTTTTCTGGACGGCCACCTGTTGATTTTGATTTAAAGTAGAGCCAAATTTGTTGGCACATATGTTTTCAATCTTCCAACATGTAACAACTTTGCACAAGTTCCAGCAAAGGAATAGTGTGTTACATTGTTTTAATTTGTTTTATCGTGTTTGGGAGTCTTCAAAAAGAGGGAAAGGCTGAAACAAGCCATTGGATCCATTGGCAATCTGACACACTGATGGCTTGACTCGTTACCTCGAGCATCAGCAGCAGTGAAAATGGACCGCGATGCCTTGTGCTCCAAGGGTCAGCTGACCAAACTCAATTTCATCCTGCTGTGAGTGCACAAAAAGTGACAACGGTTGAGTCACTTGCTACGAGTTTAATGACTGTAGCCACCTTCTTGTGCTGGAATCTGAGCGGGAATATCAATTGTCTGGCTGGTAGTCGTGCCCAGTGAAAGTATGTCGTGACGTAGTGTTTCGAACCCCCGAGCCATCCAACAGCTTCCAAACTATGTTTCACGCATGGATACATTGAATCATTGGTTTCAATACGTTTCAGGTAAGTTCCACAACTCAGGGTCCTGATTCCGCTTGCGCACGAGATGTGCGTATTACACCAAACAAAGCATTGCTTTTAGAGGATTTTCGAACTTGGTTCCGGGGTGTCGATGGTTTCGGATGGTTTGGGGCGATCTGGAGCCAAACCCTGATCCAAACGCTATTCCAGATCTCTAGATAACATCTGTTTGATTCCAAATTTCATCAGCCACCGGTCCTCCATGAATTCGATGTTGGGATTCACAGCCGTGGCCATGATCGGCAAGCGAATGGGTTTGCCTCCGTGCATTCCAGAGCCAAGTCCAGGTGGAGCAAATGTGGCAACACCAACAGCACTCCCTGGATTTGAACAATTTGCGACTGACCCACCTCCTCGGATGTTGAGAGTGATGGCGGACTCAAGCTGCATCGGCCTCCAGCCACGCCATGGCATCATTTTTCGCATGTCACAGAAATCATGAAGTGCCTGCACATCCCGAGTCAAGGCCAACAGTCCAACTACCCTGTCTCATTTGTCTCATGAGAAGTTTTTGGACAAAGATCTATGTAGAATCATATAGAATCTATAGTCCTTATAGAGTCTTTCGCAAGGCTACACATGCTACACAGTATGCCCATACCGCAACTGTGGCCATCCGAGCCCCACCTGTCCAGCAGCACGTGCACATCGATTTCAGCTCGACCCTCTGGGGACACTCGCCCACGCATGGGTGAGATGCCAACACCATCAGGGACACTGTCCACGTGGTACACTGCCACATTCTTTCCACCGTTGACGATGGGGATGGAGCGATCTGCTGGTAACCCAACGGCCAAAACGCCCAGGTCCAACCTGCACGCGCACTGTGATGAAAAATCAGCTGACTGGAGGCAAAGATCAGAACCGAATTCCAATGGAATCTATTTATATTATATTGGTTTATCATCATTTTTCCCATTAAATCGCCATGTGGCTGCTATTTATACCCTTTTTTTACAGGGGTGGTGAAGTGTCCCATTGAAGCATCACACACCTATTTTGAATATCATATCCACCAACCATCCAAACGTGACGATCGAAATCTCCCAAACAGGACATGTACCAACTCGTGGCTCAGAAAACTCTAATCTTTTTTCATCATTGAAAAAACGTTGGGTTAACCTGGCCATCTCAGGAACCTAAATTGGAGGTACCTACCATATATAAGACCTATGTAAGGGCTATGTAAGGGAATATGGCCTTATATGGTACAGTACCTCCATTTTTAGGATCCTGAAGTTCCCATTGAACCAATGACTCTCAACCAACGATCGCAATAAAATGATGGATCAAAACCTATCATACCATAATCCATATTTATCCATATCTACTTGGAGATACTAAAAACATATAAAAACATGGTATCATTGTTTTGTCTCGGGTTGTGACCAGGCCTCTTTACGCCAAAATTCATGTTCGCCTCCGGCGCTTGCCCCACGCAACGCAGGCTATGATCGTTTCCGTCTTCCACCTGCAAAGAGGCAGCGGTTGCATCAAAAGAGCTGACTTATGATGAGCTGTGGATGTTCATCCCGTCATTCTCATCTCTCCCATGGTTAATGTATGTGAATGTCCAATAGGTATCAACAAAGCCGCCACATTCATGCACAGTCAATCAGGTCCGTCAAGGGGTGCTACTCAGTACACCCTGGTACGATACTATGCATCTCTGAATCCACCAATCCAAGAATGGACATAATCTGACTCTGACTGAAAATGCTGTATCAAAGCCACACATGGCCATGTATTTCATTGGGGAAAATGATGATAATCCATGATCCATTGGAAATTCCACTGGAATTGGGTTTACTGCTGGTAAAACCCCCCATTTTCAGGTACCAAAGTGACAAAATCCGTCATCCTTGTGGCCTTGAGTGTCAGGAAGCCCTCCATGACTTGTCCGCTGTTCGGCGGCGAAAAGATGACCTGCACACATCCTTGCGGCACTTAACCGTCCTCATATTCTTTCTCATAACAGTTGATATATGTTGATATCATACATATTAGTTGAATCAAATCATACCAGTTGACATCAAAAAAAGTTGAAAACAGTGGAAACATGTGGAAATACCTATCTGAAAATATCTGAAATGTACTCAGCAAATCCCAGCTATAGGTGTCATAGGAGCCCTTGCCTAGAACTCACAAAGCCGGGACCATGGGACCAGGCCTCCACCCCTTGAGATCCACCACGAGGGATAACTCCACTCATCGGTGATACGCTGAAGGACTGGTTGGATCCCTGCCAGCCTCGATGGTCATCCAATACAGCTCCAATACAGCTAGTTAGCTAGTCCGCGACTGGATGATACTGGCATATGCTGGCCAGATATGGGATCTGTCTGATCTGTCCTTCTGATCTTGAAAAATGACTGATGCTCACAACTTGGCTTAATGGTTAACAATGGTTAACATCCCTCTCGAAATAAGTGCTGTCATGTCGCTGAACTTCGCAGGAGCGTTGCCTGGGTTGTCCAGCATTAACCTTGGACAGTTGGAACAGGGCAAGGGAGCAAAAACCTCTTCGAGCTGCCGCACACTTTTGGGGTGTCGGTCAAGCATGCTGCAGCCCAAAGTGTGAGGCGGCGAATCCTTGTTGAAAGTCAATTGCAGTGTGCTAAAATCCTTCATTTGACATAGGAATCAATACAGTTGTAAGACAACCATGTTCTGCGTGACAGTCCATGCAGTATGCTGTCAAGAAACTTTTCGGACAAAGTCTTTTCTAGGCTGTCCTTCCAAACAAGGGATGATTCTCAACTCAACTGCCATACTGACGATATTGAGCTTCAAAGTACTGTACACCACCTGCAGAAATGGCAAATCTGGTTGAATTGCCCCAAGACTAGAATGTGGCAGTGGCCTCCAGAATTCTAGTGAAAATATGAAGAGTCCCTGTGAGAGCCCGAACCCTCCACGAGAATGATGGGCACGAGTTATCCAATATGTATACACTATACGTAATTATAAGAGCAAAAAAAGTAGGCAATGCCCATACCCATACCCTGCGATCACCAAGCAAAAAAAAAACAGTGGGAGGGGCCCACGTCCTCTCCGAAACGGAAGTTCAGATCTGCCCGAGACATCCGGATCTGCACCGGGGTAATGGTTGCCTGGGAAGGCTGAACGCGGCGCAACGGTGCATGGACCGCATGGATAGAATATGGGATAGAACAGGTCAATCAGAGTCAATCAAGTTGATATCCCAAATGGTTCCCAAATGGTTCCCATTGGTTCCCATTGGTTCCCTTTCACTCATCTTCCGTGCACCCATCCTGACATTAAACCCAGGAGGGTTAGGCCACTCGCCTTGACCAACAATTTGTAGGGGTGAATTCCATTGATGGTGTACACGACCTGTCCGCGGTGCGTCACGTTGGATCAATCCAGTGGAAAAGGTTGCAACGAATTGGCTCAGATTCAGAAGGGTCCAGGAGTCCATATCTAGTCAGTTAATGTCAGTTATCTCTCAGATTATCTCTCTCTCTCTCTCTCTATTCATGTCCATCTATCTACCTGCTGTACCTACCACCCTACCTATCTCTCTTTCTATCCAAATCCAATCTACCAGTATCCATCTATAATCATCTATATCTACCGTTTATTTCTATGTCATCTCTATGTAGGTCTGAAGTTATGTCTACCTTTATATGTTTATCTAGATCATCCTATTTCAAAATCCGTCTGTCTGTCTGTTTGTCTGTCTCTATATCTATTTCCATCTATCTATCTCCTAGTTCTATCTATCTCCTAGTTCTATCATGTTCTATCTATCTATCTATATCATGCTCTATTTGATTTGATGTGTCTGGAATATTGAAAGACCATGAAAGACCCAGGTTTTCCCACCTGTCTCTGGAAGGATTGCGGTGTCGGCGAGCACACGGAGACGTCAAACCCCGCAGCGTGGGCGGAGGGCACCACCTGAAACAACTCCGACCGCGGGGGGCGTTCGCACGTGGCACAATGTGAATTGATGTTATGTTACTATGTATCCTGTTTGACGCCATAAATAATTTTATATATATACATTGTATTTTAGTACTGAATGGGTAAAACGACTAGAGCTATTCATTACTGTCCCAACAGTATCATTTGGATACAAGTGCTACAACCAATAGAATAAATCCATCAAATACCCTACAGTAAACTAACATAGATGTGGAAAGCCCATGGTTTCCTTAGGAAAACAATCTACAAAGAGTGGATGTTCATGGATTTTCGTGGATTTTCCACATCATTAGTTTACCGTTGGATATAAAAAAAGGCCTCTCTCCTAGCGCCATGGTGTCCCCACCTGTGAGGTTGGTGCAGATCGACTCAACTCCTCTGCATCGTATTGCATCGCCACGAGGATAGCCTGATCGGTTCAGTACGTTCATCTAGCAGTGCTGGGCCAAAGAGAATCTGATGCGGCGCTTTGGGAAAAATAGGGAAAAAAGGAAAGCATGACCCGGGAAGGTGCTCAGCAGAAGAGCTATCATCCTTTTCGAGCCCGCGCTCCAACAATTTCAGAGCTCACACAGCACATGTGTGAATATCCACACAGTAGATCATTGATCATAGGTTTCTGGAAAAAGCTTTCTCCGACATCCAATGTCTTCAAAATGGTCTGCCACTCACTTGATCAGCAACTCACTTGATGAGTGGGTTGGCGAAGAGGAGCACCAGGGCAATCACCAAGCCATAAATCGTCAGGGACTCCATGAATGCCAAGGACAGCAGCAGCACACCTCGCAGGTCATCTGCCACCTCAGGCTGGCGAGAGATGCCATCAATGCATCGGCCGGAAGCAATGCCCTGGCCAACACCCGAACCAATTGCAGCCAAGCCAATGGCGAAGCCAGCGCCAATGGCGGACAAAGCAGGGATCCACACGGAGCCCTCATCAGCAAATGCTGCCTGTGGTGTCACCAAGGTGGCCGCGGTCAAAGCTGCTGCGGTTCCAGTGCTTGCCGTAGGAGCAGACACATGGGAGCTGCTAGGGGCAGGCACGAAGGCGGTCAGGAATGCACCGCAGCTCAGCAGCACGGCACCAGTCAGGACGAAGGAGCGGGCCATGGCGACAGATCCAAGCAAATTTGCAGCACAGCTCTAGATCTAGTGGTGGGAAACTCCTGCGAAATGGCAGCGGTTGCGGCTGAACGCTTCATCGGATCTTGACCACCCTTTGGGAGAGAAAAACAGTTGTAAGAGTGAAGCTGGTTTCAGATCAAATTCCTTCCTGCATCTCCAAGCATGATTCCAGGCAAAGGACCCTGACCTTTTACCTTGTAGAACTACAGCAGAGCAGCCTGCGGCAGGTCATTGAAGACAGAGAAAGACTTCACGGCCGTCGATTTCACATAGACATTTCCGAAGTCCAAGACCTGAGGCGCTTGGGGATCGAGCAAATCGAGCGTCAAGGATGGCCCAGAGGTTCTTCAGGGAACTGGGAAAAACACGGACACTGGGATCTTTCTGAAAAGCATCCCATTGTGGAGGGCACCCAATTTCAACTCGCCACTTGGTGAATGTGTACCTGCTAGACTCACAGTCTCTTTACACTTTCTCGCTGTGCTAAACCTGCTGCACTTCCGAGGGTGGTAGAGCATCTGCGTCCAAGCTGCACTTGCACGCCCAACATTATAGCAACCCCTGTGTCGTCATGTCATATAGTGATTGATAGTTATTGATGTAATCTAGCCTCAGATATCATATAATCATGACTACAATCTAACCTCAGGCTCTGGATAACATGATTTCCATATCAAGGGTTTCCACATGTTTCAACGCCAAGGGTTTGACCGCGGGTCCAAAGGAGATCAATCCCAACTGCCAGCTTTCCAGACCTCGCGTGAGTGAAGGCAGGGAAGGCACGGGTAGGCCGGGTAGGCGACAGGTACCCAACAATTTCAAAATGTTTACCATGCGTTACCACTAAGCATCACTAAGCTACATCATTCAATGGATTGGTCTAAAGGAAAATATGGAAAATCTTAACCAGAAAACATGGTTTTTACCATGCGTTTACCATCATTCTCCATTATTCATAGAGGGTGTCCTATTTATTCTCCCATCCAGTCCCCCCAATCAGGCTCCCCCACTTGCAGAGCATTCTCGCACCTCCGCCTGGGTGGTAGGTCCAGCCTGTCATGGCACTGAGCGCTTGAGCTACCGTCCTATCTGCTTCACCCATCCCCATAAGCTCAAGTGATTTCTAAGAAGTCGCCTCCATTTGTAGCAGGGAAGAATGACATGTTATCTAAGGAATCGAAATGTTTGAACAGCAAAAACTGTGTGGACATTATGTGTACACCACAGGAGGACCACTCTTTACGAGGCACCTGAACCCACGTAGCAAGTAGTTGGAACAAGTCCAGTAGCGTTGGAATTCCAGGATGGTTTCTTTTTGCTTCATCCTACAAACAGTTTACGCATTACATCAACTTTACATCAACACACTCTGTGCGTTTCTCTTACAAACTGGACTCCGTGTCGAAATATATGCCTGAACTTGAATGGATTTCGATGGGCACTGTTGCCTAGACATGCCTAAACAATATCCCATCAACTCTGATTCGTGTCTAGCCAATGGATTCTTGTGGTTTAAAGCAGTCCGACCAACGTCTCAGCATGCTGGAAGACATGGAGCGCAGAGTGCGGCAAACGGCTGGTGCAAAAAAGTGCAACGCGCGGCTAGGAATGTGTAAGTATGTATAAGTATGTAAGTATGCAAGTATGCAAGTATGCAAGTATGCAGTATGCAAGTATGCAAGTATGCAAGTATGCAAGTATGCAAGTATGAAAGTATGCAAGTATGCAAGTATGTATGTATGTATGTATGTAAGTATGTATGTATGTATGTAAGTAAGTAAATAAGTAAGTATGTAAGTAAGTATGTAAGTAAGTAAGTAAGTAAGCAAGCATGTATGTACGTATGTACGTATGTACGTATGTACTACGTATGAACGTATGAACGTACGCACGTACGTACAGTACGACACTACGTACACTACGTACACTACGTACACTACGTACACTACGTACACTACGTACACTACGTACACTACGTACACTACGTACACTACGTACACTACGTACACTACGTACACTACACTACGTACACTACGTACACTACGTACACTACGTACACTACGTACACTACGTACACTACGTACACTACGTACACTACGTACACTACGTACACTACGTACACTACGTATACTACGTACACTACGTACACTACGTACACTACGTACACTACGTACACTACGTACACTACGTACACTACGTACACTACGTACACTACGTACACTACGTACACTACGTATACTACGTACACTACGTACACTACGTACACTACGTACACTACGTACACTACGTACACTACGTACACTACGTACACTACGTACACTACGTATACTACGTACACTACGTACACTACGTACACTACGTACACTACGTACACTACGTACACTACGTACACTACGTACACTACGTACACTACGTACACTACGTACACTACGTACACTACGTACACTACGTACACTACGTACACACTACGTACACTACGTACACTACGTACACTACGTGCACTACGTATACTACGTACACTACGTACACTACGTACACTACGTACACTACGTACACTACGTACACTACGTACACTACGTACACTACGTACAGTACGTATTTACCAATGTACGTATGTATAAATGACTATATATGCGTGATCACATAGATGTGTCTTGTGTGTACACACAAACACACACAGACAATGTTGGATCAATCCGACGCATACGCAGAATTCCAAGGTGGATATGTGCATGCTGTTGTGCATATTACATACGTACTTAAAAGAATGTTGTGCTATGTTGTGCAGAATGTGATAATAACTGACAACATATATTAAGATGAAGATGTGTCAATGTACGTACACACAAATAATACTTCTTTTGAGAAGCGCATACAGTACATCTGTATGACATTGTACGAGCATGTATAGAACAGAGTTCGTTCCAGAATGTTGTCACTTTGCTCGACCTGCTCACCAGTGAATCAGGACTGAACAAACATTGGACCACACAAGCTTGTGTGAAACAAATGAAATTAGTTCAGCGTGCCTTGTACTTCTTCTTGATGAGTTTGTTCTCATCATGCATGTAACCTTGCAAATTTGATCCGCATTCTGATGCAACATGATCTGGGTACCACCTAATTTAGGAAAATCTGGGGAAGCGCCCAAAGGGAAAGTGTGCAAACACTAACTGCAACTGTGACACGGTGTCCAGTGACTCCTTCCGCAGCACTGTCATCATCCAGAGCCCGCTCTAAGTGTAGTTTGTCCACCGGAATATCGTCAACGTTGTAGCGTGGACCTGAATACAAACATATACAAAGTTGGGTTGACCAGACTGACACCATTGACATCTCGAGTTTTGATGAAAGTAGAGATCCTGCCATGGTCAATAATGGTTAATGGCAAGTCCTAAGGACCTGACTCTTCAATCCGGATCCAGGTACAAGTCCCATATTGACATCATCTTCGTAGAAAATGTCCTTGGCGATTTCTGATCATGGAATTCATGGACAACGTTGGTGGCACTTCGAGTCGTCCAACAAAATCACACTGTAGTTGCATGTCAATTTTACATTGTACATTGTACATTATATGTTGTTTATTTTTGTTTACTGGTCTTTAAAGATGTTTCGTCCTCATTTTTTGATGCTCCAAGCATCGATTGGCTCCGAGGGATGGATCTCCTCCTTCGCCCGGATCTTCCGTCGTATTCTGGAGTCCTGTGACCATCAACGGAAACCGCTGGAAATGTCAAGAATTCCCCCACTGGGTTTCTCCATAAATGAGGGATGCACCCCCTTTTTGGCCATTTGAATGGGGAAATCATCATAGATAGATGATCATCGACTATATATATAATCAAATTATATATATTATATAATCATTATTTATAATATGATTATATATATAGTCTATAATATGATATATATATATATTAAATATCTATAATATATATATACATTATTTGTCTGCATGTTCAAAATGGGCTACTCGTACCCAGGCAACACATCGACATAAAAATCTCGAAGGTCCCACTGTTTTCTTCGGCGGTCCTTCAGCATCTTGTTGTACCGCTGCTTGTTTCTCACATGTTCCTGAAAATTGGGTGAAAGGATGTGAAAGGTCAAACGGCAAGTCCGCATTTATGATATTTGAGTGGAAAAATGTTGAAAAGGATGGCACAAACCATAGTATTTTTGTTGAAACAGGGAAAACAAAATAACATACGAAAATTGACAAATCCACAGATGTCACAAAACCATACAAAGTCAATTGGTTCCCTCCTGCATTGCCGAAGGCGACAGGGAATACGGAGTGGGCTCTGGCCTGAGTCTGTGCACATTTCTTAGCAGGTGCACAAAAAATTACCTTGTCCATGCAAAACCTTGAGATAACAGCAGCATTTGCCCGAATCCAAACGCACCAAACACTACCGTTTTGAACAAGAACACTACTTTGATATTTAAATGCGCATTATTGACAATCAAACTGCGCATTGAAACAGGTCAAAGCGATGCAAATGTTCTGTTAACAATATGGGCATCATTGCGACAGCGCCCTCTCTTTCATGTTTGGCATGTGCAACACAAAGGCCCGCGCAAGTCAAGCATGATGGAATCCAAGGCATCTGAAGAATGTTGGTTTCTTTCCAAATCTTCCTGTCAGGAACAGCGTTTGGCAAGCCTGCTGCAACAATTTCATAAAGCGTCCAAAAAGGGGTTCAAAATGAGTCAAACAATCACGAGCCGTGCGCCCCTTCTTCGTTTGTCTGTCTCACTCATTTGTGAGCATTCCTCACATTGCTCGACCCCGAAGCTGTGTTTGCTCATTTCGCCATGCTTCATTTTGCCAAAGCTCCACGCGGGGTAGTGCTGGAGTCTCAATTTTTCATGGAGGGAAGCACTTCGGAAGCACAGGCAAAAATTGCAAATCGGAGCAATGCACATAACAAGGAAACTGCAGTGATGTGATGAGAATTAAAAGTCATCCTGAAAATGTAATAACAATATGTATATATATATACGCATATGTACAGATTGACATAAAACACGCTAAAGAAAGCGCGGCGCTGCACATTACGCTTGGGGATAAGTGTCACCCTTTACACATGGCAATAGCCCGCTTCACACAAACGACATCCAAGGCATCGTCGTGACTTGCTGTTGGGACAAATTTCGCTCTAGATCCACGACGGTGTCACTTTCAAAATGCCAGGATTGAAAGTTATTTCAAAAAAAAATGTTATAAGTTATTATAAGTTATAAAGTGCTAAATTTCATAAGTCCAGCGCGGTTCAGGCAAAAAAGGGCCCTAATTTTTCCCACATGCTGCTAAGGCCACACTCGTTTGCGACTTGTGCACAGCCCAAACGAAACTGAATAAGTCAATTCATTAGGTATTTGATGGTGGATGATGGCACCACTGGTGGTTCATTCTAGCGAAACATCACCATCGAGAACCTTTAACTACATTACATGCAAATAATTCAAAAAAATGTGTGGTTAATCAGGATCTGGTTTGTTTACTGGCTTCGCACGCTTTGGGACTGGAGATAGCGCAAAGTTTCAATGAAAAACAAATGGTGGGGGCCTGACACTAATAAAACGTCGTCGCGCCCCATTACGCGGTGGATTTGTTTGCGGGCAGTACTAGAGACAAAATACCAACGTCGACAGTAAGGAGCACTTTGAGGCGGAAAAAAAAGGCATGCGTTGGAGAAAAAGAACATACGAATGGAAGACATTGCGGCTTAATCCCAACAAGTATTCTTCAGAAGGAACCTGAGCAAAGAAGCACTCCACAAACTATCAGATCCCAAAACAAATGAGAACTTCAACCAACAACATGGCATGGGTATGAAATAGCAAAGGAAATAACGTAACAAGCCAAAAATCAACGTGCACTTCGAAGAGCACACACTACAGAAGTGGAAAAAAATGTTGGTGCTGAGTCTGAAATAAAGACTTGGAGTTCAAAAAAGAAAGACCCCCAAAGTACACACAAAATGACTTGAACAAGTTGAGGTCCCCAAAAAGGGCACTCTCGGAAAACAAACTATGAACATGTATGTTAACACTAGAGATGCCAGCATGGGAACTTGAAGAAACATTGTGAGACTACCCCGAAAAAGAACAGATAGATTCCGGAAAAGAAGGCTGCAAGAAAAACTGATGGAATTGCGCGGGGGCAAAAATATGGTCAACAAGGCTAAGGTCAACAAAAATGGAACTCAAAACAAGTTAAGAAAAACATATTCCAAAGAAACAAGAATGACACTGAGAGTGTGTGGCAACGTTAAAGTCAATAAGGATTACAATTGCAAACAAAACACTTTAGGAGAACAAACAAACTGCTTCGAGCAAAAGGTTTGCAAACAGAACCCTAAAAACAAGGAAACTAGTTTGCAAAAAACTTAGAGTTCCAAAACAAAGGAACCCCCAAGAAGAAAATGAAAACAAACCTAGTCTAGTGTTTCAAACAAAAAAGGAACTATATTTTTATGTGCGTAGAGATTTGGCTCTTGAAGCTTCTCACAAGATAGTGTTCAAAAAAAAAGGGCGCAAGAAAAAAAAACGCAGTTCATGGAGCGTCTCAAAAATTGGGGTTCCCAAAAAAAGGAAATTTTAATTTTTTGAATGCAAGAAATCCCATTGCTTGGAGCTTCTCAAAAATTAGAGTTCAAAAAAAAGGAACTCAAACTTTTTGAATGCAGGAAATCCCAGTGCTTGGAGCTTCTCAAAATTAGAGTTCCAAAAAAAAAGGAACTCTAACTTTTTGAATGCAGGAAATCCCAGTGCTTGGAGTTTCTCAAAATTAGAGTTCAAAAAAAAAAAGGAACTCTAACTTTTTGAATGCAGGAAATCCCAGTGCTTGGAGCTTCTCAAAAATTAGAGTTCCAAAAAAAAAGGAACTCTAATTTTTTGAATGCAGAAAAACCCAGTTCTTGGAGCTTCTCAAAAATTAGAGTTCCAAAAAAAAAGGAACTCTAACTTTTTGAATGTAGGAAATCCCAGTGCTTGGAGCTTCTCAAAAATTAGAGTTCCAAAGAAAAGCTTTCACGCCAAGAAACAAAGAGCACGAGAGGCAAATCCAAAATGGCATTTGCGAAACCAAGAACAACTGTTCGCATGCCGCAGGGGTTCAGAGGAGATGGTTCAAACCCGTTCAACCTCAAGGCAAAATGATTAAGAGCACCTAAAAGTTTAGAGTTCCAAAAAAAAAGGAACTCTAACTTACCTCCCCAAAACCTGCAATTTTTTACAGGTATTTTTTTTCTCCTGAACCCAAAAATTGCCAAAATTCATGAAAATTCTCCTGCAACTTGGATAGTTTACAGGCATTTTTTCTCATATTTCCTTGGATTTTCAGTTCAGGGGAAAAAAATACCCGTAGCTTTTTGGGAGTTGGATGGACCAGAAGTTAGAGTTCCAAAAAAAAAGGAACTCTAACTTTTTTTTGGGCGGCCCCAATTTCTTTCAGCACTGAAGCATGTTTGATTCAGATTTTTGTCCTGATTATATATTTCCTGTTGGTCACATGAACAAACCTGGTTTTGGTAAAAGCGATTTAGATGTTCTGGAATTTCGCGAGGTTGAAATCAACGACTCGGAATCCAAAATGTTCATCACTCGGTTTTGCCGTCAGAATGCACAACTTTCCCAGTGGTCCGACAATGTCTCTGGATTGATGTGAGCATGTACACTATCCTTTGTAGCAAATCCTTCTGCGATCAGGTTTCAAGACCATTTTTTCTGTCCTGGCTACTGGCTACTGGCTACCCTGCGCTTTGCGGTAATCAAACCTCAGCGAGTTCTGGTGTTTTTTAGAAGTAATATTCGTGGGAGTTTCTTCAACCCAATTTCGTTTTTATCCTGTCTGAGAGTTCCTTTCTTTGATTTGCATTCTTGAGAATGCCCGGTTCTTTTTTTAAACCAGTTCCGAACTTCTCCCCATAAAATCCTTCTTTTGGGAACTCTCAGTTCAATTTTTCTTTCACACTTCTTTTTTGGCACTCTGTTTTTTGTAGGATTTGTTGTTCTTTTTTGAAGCAATTTTTAGTTTTTTCCCTGAGAGATAAATTTTTGGAACTCCATTTTGGTAAATAATTTCAAGTTGTTTGGGTTTTCCCATTTTTTTGACGCTGAGTTTTTGGTTCAAAACAATTTCAATTTCTTTCTAGTTTTCTTTTTAGGAACTCTGATTTTTTCCAGATGAGGTAGCCTTTCTTTCTTACAATCTTTTTGTTTTTGGAACTCCTTTGCGAAGCAGTTCTGGCATATTTGTATGTATACAAGTTTACAACCCTAAGCAATCCTAAGTTCCTTCAATCTATTCGCGTTATTCGTTTCTTAGGTTCCTTTTCTTGGAGCTTCAAATTTGGTTCAGACTAACCGTGCAATTTTTGTTGTAGAGTTCTTTGTTGAAACAACTTCACTTTTTTGTTTCGTCGGAGCTCTTACTCGTCTGACAAATTTCCCCGGGTTAGACAATTATTTTAGAAACTCCACTTGTTTCGCCGGGCAGTTTCAACAGAATGAATGACTGTTTAGATTTATTTTCTTTGCCACTAGAATTTTTTTCAAGCAGTGACACTGGTGTTTTCCCATGATTTAGCATTGTATTGTTCGCACCCCTGCTTGTTTTAAAAGAAACTTTCGTTACTGTTTCATACATCTCTTAGATTTTCCATCCTATGTTGATATGTTGGTTATTTTTGTTCAAAACAATTTCATTGTTTGCGCTCTTTGGTTTCCTATGTCTATCTTTTAACGTCCAAGCCAACTCTTTGGCAAAACAGTGGTCAGAATCACCGCAGTTCCAGCATCCCGTGATTCTGATCCATGTTGAGAAACTGCATAGACCAACTCCGGATATTTCTTGTAAGATTTACATTGCTGTAGCTATACTTATACGCTTTGCACTGTGCAATAAAGCAAGGAAAAAACAACTTGCAGCAATGCAGAACTTGTATTGACAATTAGGAACTGCCACCATGGACCGAACAACAGCGCCAAAGTCCTGAATTGACTGTTTTCAAGGTGCGTGTTTTCACCATAGATAAGTTTGTTTAGTTGATTCTGTTTATAATGGCCTCCTTTGGCATAACTCACTTGCCAAGGTCCCACATGTTCACAATGATCAGTGTGGTTGGAGATCGCCAGTAGAGCAATGCAGTATTTGGTACAGCAGTCAACTGTCTTGGGCTTGCCCATGGCAATCTAGTGCTTTATCTTTTGGGAGAAAACGCAGTCCGTGGATGGAATAGCCAAGCTGATGATTCAAGTCTGAATTGCCTGAATCACTTTTCGATCTGAGGCAATGCATCCCAAACACAAGTTGCCTAGCACACATCCAAAAAAAATAAGGACGCTTTTTTAAATCGAACTTCCACTAAAAAAACATGACTTTTGAAATTTAGCATTATAAAGGGAATATAAAGGGAATCAACGAAAAACAAAACCCTCCCGCAGTAGCTCCTGGCTCAGCTCTTGGCTGCCCAGTTAGGCAACAGAGCTGTTTGCTGGACAGTGGAGACAGGAGTCCCAACAAGGGCGAAAAAAACCTGCATGTCGGTTGCATGTTTTGCACAAGATACATTCATTCAAATAAAGTTCTTGGTCAATAAATATTCTAATTTTAAAACACTGTTCCTCATGTCCACACATGATAGCACAAAACTACTTCCACCTATCCCAAGAACTTTTGCCATGCTGTTGCCTCGGTCTAAAGTGCTATATTACGAAAACTTACTGCTGTTCTTTTCATGTTGATTGCACGCATGTTTGTTTGGCAGGGCGACATTGGCATCGTACTAGCCGTCGGTGCGCACTGTTTGTACGCGCGCTAGTGACACAAACACACATACCCACACACACACAGGCGCGCGAGCGCGCGCACGGGCGCGCCGAGATAAAGTCACGAAGCTGAGAGATCATATTAACGTTTTGATTCGATATGCTATCCGATATACATCTGGCAGTGCTGTGCCAGTTGGTGTACCATAAGAAGCTACCATCCGACACCATGTAAATCTATATAGCTATCTTGTTGGACGATGGGCCAATACAAGAGGATCAAGATAACGGCCAGTGTCATTGGTTGCACTGATCTCAGCTTTTTGACATGTCCGAAAATGGAAGCTGAGCTTGCACCTTCATGATCTTTGTGAGGCTTTGAAGGTTGCCTCAGCGGAGTTCACGACAATTATCATCCAACAAGCTGTGTAAGGGCATGTAAGGGCCTTTGTACAGTCTTGGAGCGATACGGGTTTCAAAAGAAGAGACTCAGGTACTCTCTGATGCATTCTGCACACATTGTTGGTGAAGATCTGTCGAGAAAATCAGTTCACCATTTCAAAACACTTGCCCCCCAGCTCACCCCTCCCATCTCTCAGCCAATTGCGAGCTCTTGGTGGCAGATTCAGCTGGTCCTTCGGCATGGATTCAGGGCGTTACTGGTAGATTGAGCTGATGTTTTGACTCTGACGAACCGAATCCAATTACTTCCAATTACAGTGTTTTCCCTCGAGACTCGCCGTCCGATTCCGCTACTGTGAAGTAACACTAGCTAAGGAAAAATGACTCTGTCTAAATCATTCAAAGTCCCACGCTCACTTGATGAGTGGGTTGGCGAAGAGGAGAACCAGGGCAATCACCAAGCCATAAATCGTCAGGGACTCCATGAATGCCAAGGACAGCAGCAGCACACCTCGCAGGTCATCTGCCACCTCAGGCTGGCGAGAGATGCCATCAATGCATCGGCCCGAAGCAATGCCCTGGCCAACACCCGAACCAATTGCAGCCAAGCCAATGGCGAAGCCAGCGCCAATGGCGGACAAAGCAGGGATCCACACGGAGCCCTCATCAGCAAATGCTGCCTGTGGTGTCACCAAGGTGGCCGCGGTCAAAGCTGCTGCGGTTCCAGTGCTTGCTGTAGGAGCAGACACATGGGAGCTGCTAGGAGCAGGCACGAAGGCGGTCAGGAATGCACCGCAGCTCAGCAGCACGGCACCAGTCAGGACGAAGGAGCGAGCCATTCCGGACAAAGATTGACGAAACTGGCGATATACTGGCGAGGCTGCTACTGTATTTCTGTACTTTGAGCCAGGGTAAGAGATTTGTATCTGACTTGCTGAACAGTCAACAGCTGTTCACAGCTTCATGAAAGTGAAGTGTGGGAGTGACATGTCAAGAGTATCTTGGCCTGCATTCATTCCTTGTATTCATGTGCGACATGGCCTCCCCTGGCCAGGTTCCCTTCCCCTTTAGTCACCACAAGCATCTTGCCCAATCCAGTCCTGGTTCACGTAAACGTACCTGAAGCGGCTTGCCGGTTGTGAGCTGAACTGCAGGAGTTGCTTAAACTTCTGACAGGCCGCATCAGGCCGCAAGCCAGTTTCGGTTTAGCGTCTGGCAAATGCCACCACCATGAACCCTTGGAGGCCGCCTTTGACCTGTTGAATTTCATGTGGTCTTATACTGCTGGATGCGGAGAACCCAAAACGCAACACTTCGATGGGTCATAAACAACATCAAACAACTGTGGATGTTCATATTACAACTACTGATCTTGCTTGTGAAGCACCCCTTAAGTAGGACACCCAAGGTCATCCCAGCAAGATCAGCCCTTTGGCCGCCAAGTGGCTCAGGATCAAAGTCTCTGCCGGTTCGCTCCAGACCCTTCACGGGCACAGGCTTTTCGCCAATCACTGGAGCCTGGTGCTGGCGAAGAGTGGAACTCTGAGATTGGGATAGGCCATGGATAAGCCATGGCTAAATATGACATATACAGTATGACATATAACTCATATAACATTGCCAAGAATAGTGACCAACTCCTAATGCAACTGCACCTCGCCGTAGCAGTGCATGGTGTGCGAGTACTGGCTATTCCCTGGGCAGCTACGATGCACCATTCAAGCCAGTGTCATGTTCATCTACAGTAGGTGCTTCAAATATGAGGCAACAGCCTTAAACATCAAGGTGCTGGAGTCGAAATTGTTCGGCGAAGTCTCTTCAGGTCTGACATACGCGTTGCTTTCAGGGACCAGGGTACCAGCCCAACTAGGTACTTCATTTTTGGCCTCCCCCAAGGACCACACCGTACTTGATGCAAAGGTCTTGGTTGTACTTCCCAAGTGCCTCCAAGGCATTTGGACAAGGCTTGACTGAGCTGCAAGCGATCAGGTATCTCGCATGCGTATACAGGCTGCACAGAACACACATGTTTGATTGAAAGGACAGATCGCCAAGCAACCTGTGAGTTTTTGAAATATGTTGAATGTGTTTTCATGGCATTTTCTCATCTAATAAAGAAGAAAGCATCAAGCCTGGAGGAAAGCAGCTGTCAAACCATCGAATCATGAGTTCTCACCCCGAGTATCCCCGAATTGTTACAACATGTTATAACCATCAGCAACGCATCAAGCGACGCCAGGCATGCCTTGGGCATGAAAGACACCACCACATTGGTATTTTGCGCCGGTGCCAGCTTGCCCCTCATGGGATGGACCCGCATGTGAGGTACCTCACGTTGCACACCGCAAGGCAGCCATTTAGGTCACTTGCAGCCACGTTACATATCGCCGTGTCGTGAGGAGATATATGTTGATAAATGTTGATACAGTATATGTTGCCTTGGATCATCTTATCAGTTTCATTATATGCCTTTCTGCAGGACACAAACAAATAATGAGTGCGAAGTGCTTCTAATCTAGTGCTCCAGCAAACAACGAACATATTGTACATCATGCTATCATTTGTTCAAACCATTACAAATAATCTACTGAGTCTACCCTCGTGCAAGAAATGATGCAAACCCAGCACTCCACACTGAGCACAACACTCTAGGAATCTCGAACTCGATGGGCGTGTTTTGCGGACTGCTGTTGGTTATCCGCAGAACAATATCCCGCCTGAAGCGGGCTTGTTAGCGGTGGGTCGGAGATGATCATGGATGGTTGGTCATAAGTCATCAATGAAGGACGATCGTCTAGAATCCAGGTAATTATAACACATATAGATACATACACAATGTAGATATCTACTTATTAGAAAAGAGGGCTGTCACCTGGCTGCTAAACGCAATGGGGGCTGGTTGCTGCCAAGCGGCCGCTGATTCACAGGGCACTGCCCAAAATGGAGCATGTCCGGACTCACCTGGCAGGTGGAATACAAACCATCAGATCAACTTAGGAAGCTAATTGCCGATCGTTTCTATTCCACTGTGCAAACATCCATTGCATTGAGGATATGATGCTATAATATGCTATAATATGCTATAGACTCTAGACAAATATGTTCAGAGGCCCTGAGGATGATTTTGCCTGGAGAAATCCCAGCACAGGAGCGATCAGTGGGGCCCACCTTGATTGAAGGCACCACCTTTTCCGAACTTTCAAGCTTCGGCAAAGCAGGATTGAAGTCCTCCCAAAAATGTCTGCCAACCAGCCAAGGGTCACTTCAGTGGTTGAATCTGCGAGTGTGCTTGAGCGAGGGGATGAACCAAGGTAGACCAGTTCAAAGAACAAAAAACACTGAAAAACACCGTAAAAACACCACAGCATAGTTGCTAGAGAAACCTAAGGGCATCAAAATGGGGATAGCGACGAGGGTTGCGATGATGGTGATGATGGACCACGAACAGCAACGACGATAATGGTAAGGACAGCAAGGGTGGAAAGGATGGCGAGGACGATGAGGATTGTCAAGCCTCTTTGTCAAACTGATGCTACTCACTGATCATAAGGAGTGGAGAAAATTTCGACGAAGGTCCTGTAAGGCTACTAGAGAACCAGAGCCCTGAGGTACAACCAAAAAAAGGGAAAAACGGTCGAAAAGCTACCAAACACGGTTGTGTTGAACGAACTTCAAGAGTCCTTCATTCCATGGTGCTGTTATCTTATATGGCTGAGGGTCAAAATTGGGGCTGGATCGTGCCGCATTGATCTGGTCGCCTAGAACAGGGGTCTGGACTTATGTATCGTCTGCGGTCCATGGGCCTTGATCCAGCCTGTGGGTTTACATGGAGGTTATGTCATGTGAAATCATCGATCCATATCGATCCATATCGATCCATAATGGCACAGCCACCTTGCTGATGTAACCTCCATATGATTGCCATATGTCTTCCCTGAAAAATTCCTCCGGTGGTTCGTTTCTTCTCGCTTGGTCCTCGGTTGGCACTTCATTTCGCTTGCCATGTCGATCGGCCTGGTCAAGGCTTGGGATCTTCTGATGAACAGCCCCTGCAAATGGTAATGGATGATAATGGAAAGTATCTTTTGTGCCGGAAAACAACGAAGGTTCTGGAAAAATGGTAAATGGTGGACAGTGGATATCCCATGATATCCCATTGTCAGGTTACCAAAAGGTATCTGGGTGATTCCAACCATTCGCTGACCCGAAGACTTCGGCCCACCATTGAAAAACACCCCGATCCAACTCCAATCAGTCCAGTGAAGTCACGACGTGAGGTTGTGATCAAATTGTCCAGAATCCCTGTATCACACTATATACATACATATATATATATACATATAATATACATATAATATACATATAATAATGATTATAATATACGTATATATTCTGATTGTGCCCACATTTTATCCCTGTTATTCACAGAGAGTATTCCCAATTCTATTCCCAGTGTATCACCCTTCATATTCCAGCGGAGGCAGCCTTCCCCGACTTTCCCTGCCTTCTCCATGGTTTCAGTGGGACTTGACTGTCCTCGCATCGCGGAACTGGCGACACCTAGCGGAACGGTCAAGCTCTCTGTCGAACTGGGTTTTCGTGATCAGCCTCCCAGTCATTCCTGATTTGGGATAGCAAAAGGATGCCAAGATATGCCAAAGGAATCTTTTATCATCTGTTCAATTCTTTTCATATGTTTGTATGGGTCTGTCTGAACATGGGGAATACCGGAATACCCCAAAATGGCCATCAAATTGGGAACATGATGATAATCCATGGAAATTGAGGATACACGATTTTCAAACAAACGCGTATTTTGGGAGTATGTGTCTGATAGGTGGGTGTAGTTTGGCATCATAAGTAGTTATAAATTGATATATGATATTGAAATTCACCAGTGGAGCTGATTCTTGGCTTGCGTGTGCGATGTATATCAGCTAGTAATACGCAGTGCACATGATCTTCATCTATCTACTGATACTGTTCCTATACCACGATTTCCTTGGAATGTCCATGTCGAATCATTTGCATTGAGCACATGGTGCGTGTGTGTGTGTGAGTGTGTGTGTGTGAGTGTGTGTGTGCGATCGCGATCACCAGTGTCTGTGTGTGTGTGCATGTGTGTGTGTATGGGTGTGCGTGTCTTGCATGTTAACATGCCCGCATTTGACTCCCATGTGCCATTCTCAGTCCTCAAAGCAGCACCTTGCCCGTGACCCCACGCCCTAAATCGCCCTAATGCCTTCGCCGCCTTTGCGTGCCTTGGAATTGGGAACAATGTCAAGCTGTTGCAAGGAGTCTCCTCCTCTGAGCTTTTTCTGCCCGAAACAAAACCTGTGACCCGAGGCCTGTACTGACCGTGGCACTTGAGCGCACAGCTCCACTTCACCACGGAAGTCCTGTTCCAACAGAAGATGCATCGGTACTCCATCGGTAGAAAAGTGCTGAGAAAGGTCAGAGGTATAGAAGCAATGGAACAGCACAAGTGGAGACTCGGGGAGCAACTACTGAAAGTAAGCCAACAATCGGTCCAGGAAGCAGCACAAGAAACTCTAAAAACAACAATTTGGGGGCGGATAATGGATGTAAAGGGCTGGAAAAAAAGCTAGCCCGCGTATTCACTGGAGAAAGGGGCTGAGTTTTGCATCATCACTCAGGTTGCAGAATGGTGCAAGTAGCATTGATACGCATTGATTCAAAATCCGCGAAGCAAACGCCTTCTCTCTACCTCTCATTTCCTGAAGCAGTCCTGAATCCCGTTCACATCATTCACTAAGCATTGGACAAAACAAATCGGTCACCGTGTGAAACGTGAGAACGTGCTATTCATGGCGCCAGCAAAGAGCTCAAAGGCCAAAGGCCAAGGACCTAAATGTCTTGGGAAGCCTTCCAACTTAAGAGCCATTTGTCCGTTTCGCTCCCTGAACCTTTCAACACTTGTCAGTCCTCTGCCACGACCACCAAGGTGTCATAAAAGTCATCTGCTTTTCTGGTCAGGAACTCAATGTCCACGGACACAGAAAGTCCAGGTGCTACTCCAATTTCATTCCTGGTCAAGGTGTCATCGCTGAAGGTACAGAAAGAAAATCTGGCACTGGGAGTATTCTAATTTGACCCATTCCGGTTTTACCCGCTTGGAGACAAAGGGATCTTCTTCAAGTGTGATCTTTACGTGTGACCTGCTGATGAGGCTGAGATTGTGACAGGTGCATGTCCAAAACTTACATTCGAAGGAGCTTCGTTCCTCCATGATTTGCTATAGATACTTTTCAAGGATATGCAAAGCATGTTTAAGCTCATAGTAATATAGCGAAAAAATATGTCAAAGTAGACATCGAAGAAAAAATTGTTTACCACCCAGGCAAAAAGTCAGGTAGCATCCACACCTTTGTTCTGGTTGCATTTCGGATATTTTGAGATGTAAGGTATTCATCTAGGTATTCATCTCAAAATCTGCCGTTATTCGGTGGTAGGCCCAAAACTGACTCTAGCCAAGGAGCTCCGTGACTATCCTTAGTAGCTGCAAGCTGCAAGCTGATACAATGTAAATTAGCTGCATAGCAGCATAGCACACCCACACACACCCGTGTCCAATCAAGGTGAAGGACCTGCTTCTTTAGTCTACTGTTTGAAAATCAAGCATTTCGTTGGCCAGGTACATCCAACAACGCACCGCAGAAAAATAGTTCTACTGTACTTCTTGTTGCAATGGAGGTATGTCCAATAACACAACAGGTCCAGCTGAGGATTTTTTTTCGGACGAAACAATGTCGGAAACGCAATCAAGTCTCCTAAATTCTTGAGATTTTGGCACCTGGAAGCGAATGCGCTTGACATAGGTGCTGAGATTTCTCACCACCAATGTCTGGATATACCTGACAGGGAACAGTGGACCCTAATCCTGGATAAGGCATGTCTAGGCTGCATCCAAAACCCATACTGTATCAGATGCCGTTTGTTGCCGTCTGGTTGCCTGAAATGAAATTTGAATGAAAAAAGGACCTGGGCATCCAAAGTTGCGGTGACTTAATGCATTCAGATAGTTTTGAATGTGCGAAAAAAAAAAGGTTCAAAGATGTTTCATTGTATTTTTTCAACATTGTGGGATAAACATTGGTTCCGGATGACTTAGGTCGGCTTAGGTAGTTTCTACGCCTCATGACAAGTTCTGATTCTGAATGGTTCAACATCATTTTCACAACGATTGCACTTGTACGTTCAAAAAGTCTGGTGGCATCATTACCATGTTCCAAATCACTGCGCAAGATCAAAGTTTGAACAATGTTAGTAATACTGTTACAGCGATTTCACCCTGATGTCTTACCACACTCCATGTGCGGACAAAGCGCTTCATGTTGGCTTCGATGTTTTCGAAGACAATCCCCGAAGGCTCAATACTGAGATGTCTGCCATGGGGAACAATCGTGGCGTTCCGCGCGCCCCGGATCATTTCTTTAGAGAAATGGGCCGCCCACTGGCTAATCCGGAGGGCCCCACGCAGGGGCCGCTAGCGGGCCCCGGTTGAATCTGCCTATCCTACCTGTCGAACCAAAATGAACAAAACATTGCCAGTTTTCCTGACCAGCTATGAGACGTTTGAAGTCAAACTACCAAAAAATCGCACGGATTTATGATCAATAAGCGTTTCATACACAACAGGGATAACAAACGCTAGCTGTTAAAGTGGTGTTCTCATTTGCGAATCTCGTGAAATTGAATGCGATCTACAAATCGGCCAAACCAAACACCAGCTTGCATTTAACGCCTTGCACGACTCACAACCATCTGGCCTGTCAGAACTCGGAGTTTGACCGGCAAGAGACCCCAAACAAACAGTGTGTGTGGGGGGTTAGGAAGTCAATGTACCAGATACAAGCAACAGTGGCTATGGAACAGTAACAGATCAGGTTAGGCAAGATCGCAACTGCAGCAGCAGGACCTTCTATGTAAATCTGTAAAAAGGAGCTCGCAAAATCTTCATACAAGAGCTTCCTATGGCACGTGTAAGGCATCTTGCGGGGGATTTCTGAAACAGCCGGCATCGAGTTCTGCTTGAAGCCGCTGGTTTTCAGCGGTCTGAGGATTTCTTTGAGTGTCTGCGGTTCCAAAACTCAAAGCTTGCTGACCGATTGACTTGCAGTGGTGGCTGAGCCTTCTGCATCACTGATCAAGGGTGCAACTCTAAAATGCTTCTGCTTGAGCCAATTGGTGACTTCCCGGCCTTCCTTGGCCATGTGGCTGCGCCACGATTGAAAGGATTCAACTTTGCATCGATGCAACTCTTCTTTCAAGGCATTATGGACATCGTGTTCAGCATCTCGCCAGCTTTTCCAGGGCAAATCGCTGGGCCAGGTGCGCCATATGTTAGCTTGGAGGGTAGGGTCCGCCTTTGCTCCTGTGACAGTTTGCTTCACGGATTCTTCCTAGCAAGCGGCTGAGCTTTCTCCGCCTAAACATGCCGCAGCGGTGGCCACTGCATGTGTTGTCAGACCCATGCACAAATTTGGGCGTCGTGCCTTTAGCATTGGTTGAGTCAGTCACGTTGATCATGATTGACGGCATCTGCTCGGAAGACACTTTGCAGCATGCGATTATACCAGTGCCATTCTGCATCAACATTACCGTGAATGTCGCTGGGAATCTCAGGATCCAAACCAACAGTTCTGGTCCATGCCTGAGCTACTCTAGCGGTCCATTCGGTGAAGGTCAAATGCTTCGGCTTGCGGAAGTTGGCACTTCCCAGCAGCGTAATGTCAGGTACAGGTTGGATGCCAGCTTGCATCGCCACGGTGAAAAGGCTTTATGGTCGCCGAATTCCTGCAAAAGATAATACTGCAGCAAGTCAAAAACTACACCCTGATTGGCAATGAGATAATCCAGGCAGCGCTTTCCCTGCCATCTGCTGGGGATGTATTCCTCGTCTTCCGTCATGGCTGCAATGGAGATGTCATCACTGGTTTTAAAAAAAAACTAAAGGGTCCAATTCCGAGTTAGCATGCCAGACCGTATGCAGGCGCTCGACCCATTCGGTGCAGTCAACCGTGCTGGGACATTGCCACACGCTGGTCACAAAGATTTTGCCCAGCTGGCAGCTAATTGCTTGCCCGTCGGAGGCACTGTAGCTACTAATTGAAATTCCGGGAAAGCATTTCTTCACAATCAAAGCACATCCTCCTTGAGTATTGCCGATGGAAGGCTGGTGGACGGCCGCGCGGAGGATTCGAAACCCAGCGTAATCCAATTGGTCTCGAGAGAGAGCAGCCCAGCTTGTGTCAAGCGTGTTTCCTGAAGGGCCGATACATCGCACGCAGCTTCGCTGAGCATGTCCATGATCTTGACGGTGCTTTCCATGCCACCTGTGTTAAGGGAACAAGCTTTGATCCGAAATGGACCAGGGTTGGGCTCAATGCCTTGCTCCACCAGTTTTGACCACTTGAGGTCATGAGTCATGAGAGAACTTCCCCATTCTCAGGCTAGATTCCGTGAAACATACTGCAACACCGGCTTGTTGCTGGGTCTGGGACCTGGATTTGGTTCAAACCCCTGTTGGTATGGAGTCTTTTCGCGCTTTTGCCTCTGGTAAGTGGTAATCTGCCCGTCGGCTGCACTATATTTTTTCCAGGGGGTAAAAGGAAGTGATCTTTATTGATCTTTTACCTATTAACCCGCAACCCCCTTGTGCATGGTCATTATCTGAGGTTACGGTGTCTGCGCGCCACAGTCTGCTGTATCAAGTTTGCGTTCGGATGACTTGAGGCCCTGAGAGGTGAGCTTGCTTTCCTGGAGGGCAAGACCATCAAAAGGTGAGTCATGCCCCCGGTGTTGAGGGAGTATCATAGCTTCAGGAGGTTTGGCCCCGGGTTCGGTTCAATGCCCTCTTCCCGGAGTTTGGTTGTTTTGCGATCTCTAAATTGTTTTGTGAGCTGGTTGGGGATTGGACCGGCCGTCTCGGTCTCTTTATACTGGCTTTCTTAAAGTTTCTAGCTTTGTGTATTATTTCTGGTTTATGGAGTGCGAGCGCCCGGGGCTGTGGGCCGAATTTAGTCTGCATATTTTTCTTGAATTCATTGCTATGGGTGGCGACTATGTTTTCTTCTTTTTCCGTGAGTCTCCAAGCTTGCAGAGTTCTGGCTGCCATTCACGGTCGTTTCTTTCCCAGAGGCCGTTGTCCCTTTTGGGTCTGAGGCGGTGCTGTCTGTCGTCGCGACCTTTGCACTGGTGGTCCATCTGGCGCAAAATATCTGCTTGGAGATCATGTTGACCGGCCCAGGAGGCAGCGCAAACTTCGCAAACAAATGCCGCTTTCTTTCTTTCATTGGCGCTGCGCTTCCACTCTGACGATGCTGTGGGATGTGCTGGCGGCCAAGGTTTTCAGCATTCTCAAGTGAGTCAGAGCACGAGTGAGACATGAGATCCTGGCCACGCCCTTATCTTTAGCACTGAATCCTCTGACGGTTTGGGCACTGCCTCCATAGTATCTGACCAACTGGAGCAAGTTCTGGAGAAGGGAAGATGCTGCTTTTCAGCGTTGCGGGCATGTCTTTCAGGTGATGAGTCGCCCTTTCCACCATTTGCCCAGCACTCCCCCCTCTTGACATCCATGAGTATATCTGGGAGGGCGTAGTTTTGGCTCAGCTTTCGGAGTGGCCCCTTGAAGCTTTTGACGCTTCAGCTGTTCGGCTTCCATCTCTTCGTCTTCTGCGAATTCATCTGTAAGTTTGTGCTTCCATTTGGCCGGGGCACGTTTGGGCACGTGTCCAACGATCGCCGCGGTCGGGGAGGAGATACCGGAGTTTTGTGGCTCTGTTTTGCAATTGGCGTCTTCTGGCCTCCTTGTGGTGGTGCTAAGTTCGATGTGAGTTCCATCGGGGATAGCAACAACGGGTTGGATCAGACCATCGGATTGGGGATATAGACGAGCCAGGATGTGCAGTGGCGGCGCCATTCCTTGGCGACTACCTGGATTTCGGTGAAAGGCATAGTTTTCGAGCAGGTCTTGGACTTCTCCGAAACTCCATGTTTTGGGCACCTGGTCAACCCGCCAGGTACATGATCGTGCTTGCAAACGATTGTCTGTGGCGTCAACCCGAATGCCTAGCTGGAACCTGCCTGCAATAACCCCAGATTGGGCCATTCTGTGAGTTCTGCATGCATATTGACCCCATCTTCCTCCATCTTGGGCCTCGATCCACAGGACTTTGGTGGGCAGGATGTTAAACCTTCTGCGACTGGTTCCACAAACCACCTTTCGCCGTTGCTGGAGTGCTTGGTACCACTGGCTCTAAGGAGTGTCATTGCGGTTGCATAGTCGTGGATTCTAAACATCCCTCTGATATCTCTCCTGTTCTGGATTTCGAAGTGGAAGCTGTCGCCTAGGTGTGCTTTGGACGCACTGTCAACGACATCGATTGCCCAATTTCTGGCGTGTGCCCCCGGCGACTTGTTAAGAGCATCCCCTGTGGGCCAATCAACAGTTTGGTAGACTCCAGGTGCGACAAATCGCACAACCCATCCTGTGCTGCGTGTTCGTGTATGTCTACCATGTTCTCTGGTGACCTTTCAACCTGCTGTCTGGTTTTGAGTGTGGGACTTCCCTGATCAGAACTTTGACACCAAAAGTTGCAAAATTGCAAGCCCCTGCACAAGATTCCCGGAACTCTGACATTGCTACGCATGTTTTCATCCTCCGGTGGACAAATGGCATGTGGCAAGAGAAGCGTTGCCATGGCACTGCACTCACCTTTGGCTAGGCCTATCATTTCTTGAAAATCTTCGAGACTTCCGCAAGCCCAACTAAGGCGGCTTGTTTGTTAATTATCTGGATGATCGAGGGCATCTGCATATTGGCTGGGCACGAAGATCAGCACGACTTGGTCTGTGAGTTTGGAAGGTTCTTCGTGTGGGACGTCCAGGGGGGAGTCGATCTCTACTGGAGCCACCGCTTTGAAGACCCACATAATTGCCGCCCGTTGCCATGGCCGATTTTTCCAGAAGTTCAATATCAGCAAAATCACATTCCTATATGGTCCTATATGAAGTCTTCAACTTGTTCGAATGTCCGATCATGGGGAATGGCTGTGACGCGCCGCTTTCTGCCTGTAAACTTTGCTTTTTCAAGATCATCTGGGGCCGCAGGACGAGGGAGACCTAATTGCTTGAAACCTCTGGCAATCCCAAAACAGATGTTCATCGTTCAGCTACTTCGACCCAATCAATCTGTTGATCTTGCAGGCCAAGTTCTGGTCCCGGGGATGCACATGACGGTTTGTCGAAAAGGCTTCTTCTGGTTTGGCTGATAAATCGTAATTCCTTGCGCGCCGCTTCTTGTTTGGTCTTTAAAACTATGGCTTGTCTAAATAGTCTGAAACCATGAATTTTATCTTTCATGAAATGCTAACGCACGTCTATATGGAGTGGGTGCCGCTGCTAGTTATTAGTCGTAGAACTTCAAGATTCTTCTCTGCTGCAAGGCTTGTCGTTGCCTTTGCTGTCAGCGCTGCTTTTGTCAAACAGAAAGGATAAACTACAAGTT